TCAAGGGTGAATCTGGCCCGTTCCTGTGTAAAAAGTACTGGTGTTTTTTAACATAGCCCGGCATATAGAACGTCACGAGGTGACGCGCTATACGTCATACTCTGTAGCTATAAATGATATTAGTCTGGCATAATCTGTTTTTAATTAATTTGAGCCCATCCCAGGAGAAGTTTCGCATTGCGTCCAATCGTAAACGTTATTTGTTTATAGTAAAACGATGAAAATAAATATAACTTTAAATGTTTAATTACTTAGTAGTTTGTGAAAATTGACCTTTTTATGGAAATATACATTCACAATTACTAAAAATGGCTGGTCGTACAGCATGTGTTCGAAATGTTGGACCGGTTGGACCGGAGCTATCCTGTCAGAGCACGAGGGGATCTTTACACTAACACGCGCCAAGTTGATGCCCATATACATTGAAGATCATTCACTATATTTCCCCCATTCGAAAATTAGAAACAAATTATATGAAACAATTTTACACCAGTTTTCATACAGGCCCCGTGTCGGTATATCTCGACTGCAGTTATGCAACTAAATGCTGAAATTGTAAAAGTGCGCCCTCGTGTATAAATTGATTGTTTCAAACATTTTGTTAAAACACAGTCCCTCTAAAATAACCGAAATGGATAGAAAAAATGAGGGTGCGGATGCACATTTGGATATTTTATGTCATTCGGTTCAATTTATTCCCAGTTTCAAACTAACTAACGCTTCCAAACCAATCAGAATTCTCCATTGCAGGATTTGATCTACGCTGAATATCCTGTGTCTGACTGGTTTCCCGAAGTCAAATCCCTGTTCTCATCAAATGGGAAATTCTCACCAACAAGGAACCACACAGACTGGGTTTGAACGCGGAACTTGCACAACGGATGTCTGTTCATTGAGCTTCCTGGAGCACGATACCAGTCTTATGCCTTGGGGTTAATCTGATGGTTCGAGTTAGATCATAATTGATCATTGTGCAGTTCTCGAGTACTGGGCCCATCATATATCCTATACAAAAAAGTCTTTGGGTCCATCTCCGGTGTTCATCTAACACAAAAACACATCCCGGTTCAGCGCTTGGACTGCATGCATTCATTCATACATTGCGGAATAAATGTTCTAGCTTTTATAGCACATGCTATCGAAAAATAGGATTACGGGTCCCCCCCCCCCAGTACGTAATTCTGACAGAAACGCCGACAACACTCATTGAATGCCTTCAGAAATCCAGCTGTTCTCGTGGAGAAGGCAAACAAAATATATGCTTGAAGAATGAAATATTCATCAGAAATCTGCTGACACTGTCATGAAATTTGTGTAGAGTTGCCAGAAGGAAACTTCTACACATTTTTATGTAAACGTTTATTTTCAGAAGAACAAAATGCACGCAACATATTGTATCATCAATTTTACATTCGGCTCCAGTCGCTTGTCGCTGCACTATTGAGACTCTGCCTCGGGCACCCGCCCGCTTGCGATGAGATACTGGGTGGAAAAGTTGCTCACACTACTGTCAACGTCAATTTTTTTCTGAGGCTTGAAGGTAAATCACGTGTATTGTATCGTGTGCACATCTGTTTTTGTGCGCTTTTACACTAATGTCGGAGAGTGTAAAAAGGCTTAAATATGATGAAGGAAACATCGGCAGAGTGCATTGGAGTCCCATGGATTGGGTTCTCCTATAGTTGAAGTATACAGGTATGCGTCGCTGTTTTAACCCCTACACCACAATCGGCCAACAATTTAAAGATTTTTTGGCTATTTTAGCAAAGTTTAGATAAGTTTTTGGCCCAAAGCGCCCTCAACGTCGATTTTTCAGGGTCCAGTTTTTTGCTCAACTGGCTGTGGAGCACCCCACCCAAGAATGCGAGTGCCAGTCACATTTTAAACGTTGTTAAACTCGAAATATTAATTTTTCCAAAAAAAGTTAACGGGGGGGGGGGGGGGGGGGTTAGCTCCATTTCCTGCCAAGTTTATGCATATGCATGTACATGACATTTCACATGGTCCAGAATTGTTATTGTGCAATTATAAAGTACAAAACATGCATATGGTTACCCAAAACATTGTCTATCTACGAATCCTGGATTGTCCTGTGCAGTTTACTTTTCACCTATAATTATTTATTCACCAAAATAAAAATTCCTGTCATCTTCATTTTTATATGATCCAATTAATTAATGCCCATTACCAATTTGAACATTTTTGCAGCAATGTCCAAAGGTATACATGTTGAAGGATTATACCACATGAAAATAGCATTCATCAGAATTTTTTCAATTCAAGATAACCACAAATACCCACTTTGTTTACGATTTTTTTTTTTTCACCACATAAAATTCCAAGATTCAAAATCATGTTACCACAGAAACCAATGTTATACAACTCAACACGATTTTGTAAAAGCCAAGAAAATCTGATGTTTATGATTGCGAAGTACTTTAATCTAACTAGCAGAAGCTAACCTGGGGCCATCCCATGTATGACGATAGTTTTCACAAGATTTATTTGCACGTAAATAAGATCAAGGTGTGAAAGATCTCAATTCTGTGTCCAGTTGTGAAAACCTTCGGCTGATCTGCACTGGCTCGGAAGATGAATTCTGATTGGCTAAAAAAACAAAAAAACTTGTGGCGTTGAATGCACGTTCATTGTCAGTATTGTTATGCAAATTCAAACTAGCTAATCATTTACAACCTTCCGAGCCAGTGCAGATTAGCCCAAAACCTTTGTATACTGGCAGTCAATGAAAGAGATCAAGGTAATAGTTAATGAATTAAGATTTCCAGTAATTTGCTGCAATCTCATGATAGACTACCATGCA